ACTATAGAGTGGATTTCCAGTCCCTATGCCCTGAAGTGCCTTAGGCAAGCCTGTGATGTCCTTGCCCCCAATATCCACTGTGGGAGTAGAGTGGGTCACAGGATTTCACCAAAAGAATGTCCCACAAGATCTTAGTTTTAGCAGACTCAAAGCAGTTCTCCATGAGGAAGCAGTCTCAGGCGATGGGATCAGGGAGGAGTTCAGTCTACTTTTTCCATGGTGGAGAAGGTCTGGGTGACAATGTAGATTTCCTCCAGGTGATTGTTAAGCTATCATTGCACTTTACTCATTAGAGTGTGCAGTAGCAGCAGTAGGGGCTCTCAATGGCTCCAAGGGACTGTCACACCTCGTGCTGGGCTGCAAATTCCTACACAGACTAGTTAAGGATACATATATTACATAGACTTGGCAGGCTGTGGCCCACTGGTATTTATGCCTGTTCAATAGTCCAGGACAATTTATCAAGACTACAACTTTTTACTAACCAGATTTTTTTTTTCGGGGGGGAGGTGTCTGGTCGTGGGGCCTGAACTCTGGGCCTGGGCGCTGTCCCTCACCTCTTTAGCACAAGGCTAGCGCTCTACCACTTGAGCCACAGCCCCACTTCTGGCTTTTTTCTTTTTGCTTATGTGGTGCTGAGGAATTGAACCCAGGGCCTCATGCATGCAAGGCAAGCGCTCTACCACTGAGCCACCTTCCCAGCCCCTTCTGACCAGTTTTTGAAGGGCCACACACAACTGACTCAAGGATCTAACAGAATTTCTGCCATCCAAGCAGTGGCTTACTGCCTCTGGATGCTCCACCATTGCTTTTGTTCCAGGAGTGTCTTCTCCACACTGGGAAAAATGCCAAATTGGCATTTCCCTTAGTTGGTTGCTGGACTTGAACTCGGGCCTGAGTGCTATCCCTCAGCTCTACAGCTCAAGGCTAGCACTCTGCCACTTTGAGTCCCAAAGCAACTCTGCTTGCTCTTTCAGCACTGTGCTGGCTGATTAGAGGTGACAGTCTCACAGGGACCTTTTTCTGCCCAGGCTAGCTTTGCACCAGTTTGCAGATCAATGAGTCTTATAAAAGGCCTCTTTACTCCAATTAAAAGCAACAAGGTGGTCAACATAGAAGTAGCTTTAAGCATGCTCTTACCTGGAACTTATTAAGAGCCAAAGTTACATCTGACAAACTTATAAGAATCCTCTGGGCTTTGCTCTGGGCCTGGTGGAAACTGTAACAAAAACCTGTAAGAGCAAACTGAAATAGCAATTATTTTGGTAATCCTAATTTTTCCTTTGTGCACTTTGAGGCAAACGTTAAGAACAAATTTTACTTTTAAACTTTATGTATTTATTTTTTTAATTGTGAAAATACCATACAGAGGGGTTACAACTACATGAGCAAGGCAATGAATACATTTCTTATCAAGCATTGTTGCCTCCTACTTTGTTTCCCCTTACCATCTCTTCCCATCTCCCCCCACCCCATCCACCCCATCTCCCCCCACCCCCCACTTTTAAACTTTATATCCAGGAAATTAGGAATGGACCTAATTTTGAAGGCTCTTATTAATCTCTTTTTATACTTTAGTTTTCAGTTGCATTTTGAAAACTCCCTTGAAATCTTGAGGCTAGGTGTCACTTGTTGCCTTGGCTACTTATTTTAAAACAGATACATTTAAAAACTTTTTAACTCAAATGACATTTTTTCCTTAATGCAAGAATTACAATCACCATCACTGTACCAAGAAGCTAGACTTAACACCTTTATGCCTTAAAAAATATATCCATGGGCTGGGAAGTTGGCTCAGTGGTAGAACGCTTGCCTTGCATGCCTGAGGCCCTGGGTTCGATTCCTCAGCACCACATAAGCAAAAAGAAAAAAAGCCGGAAGTGGCACTGTGGCTCAAGTGGTAGAGCACTAGCCTTGAGCTGAAGAGCTGAGGGACAGCGCCCAAGCCCAGACAGAGTTCAGGCCCCACAACCGGACCCCCCCCCCAAAAAAAATATCCAATTGCAGAATATCATTATACAGATAATATCATTATACAGCAAATCACATTACACAGATAAACTTTTTTAACCCTCTTTTTAAGGCCTTTTAAATTTTAATACATTCAAAGGGTAGTTTTAACAATACCAATCAGATCCTCACATCAATCATTTTTACCATCATGTTTCCAGTGTCTGTAAGGAAAAGGGGCAGGACAAAGATGGGCCCCTCGGCCCCTCCTATGGAATGGGCACACACCCAATCCAACTCTTTAGGGGTTAGATGAACTGCCTTTGTGCCAGCTTGCCCTCTTCTGCCATGCATGACCGGCTGAGCTGCACTTCTGCTTGTTCACCCCTCACCCCTAAACATAGGTCTTCTGTTGGCTTCTAAGTTTTTCCCTTGGTCCTTGAATGAAATACACAGTTTTAGAGAGACAGAACAAGTCTTTGACAGTGTTAAACAAACCTTCACATTTAAATTTCTAATGTTTATCCCCAAATTTTAGCCAAGGGAACTAAATCCCAAACAGCCAATGCCTTTTTGTTGAGCTAGATAACTTGATTACAGTGTAAACAGCCTTATGCATTCTAAAATACCAGATTTTAAGATACCAGATTTTCTCATTTTCAAGTTAAAGAATCCTTAAAAAGCCATTTAAAACAATGTGAAAATTCTTTAAAAATTTTTGGTAATGTCCAAACCTCATAACCTTTTGAATTTTAAACTTATCCAATTGTTACAGCATGGTGACAATTTTTATCTTGAACATGTTCACATACTCACAGATCTTAAAGTGCACAAAAGTGAAAATAAGTTGTATATACATTTTCTAAAATTTAGTGGCAAGAGAGTTTTTTTTTTTTTTTTTGCCAATCTTACTCTTGCAGATGACAAAAATTTAAGACAAGATTTTAAAAAGCACTTTTTCTAGGCCATATGCCCCCCATCACCAGGGTTTGCTTGTTTAGCCAGGTATTTTCCCAATTGGCCTTTTTGAATACCATCAGTTGGAGGAAGGCTGGGAGGTGGCGGGGAGGAGAGAGGGAATCACCTGAAACTAAACTGGCATGATTTTTACCTAATTTAGACAAGATTATTACAAGTATTGCTTGCTATAACCAATTGTATAACTGCTAAGCTGGAAACCCCCTACCCTTGTTGTAACCACCATAAAAACCCTGGTAGATTGAAGGTCAGGGCTCTCAACTCTGACCCACTGCGTCAGTGAAGGTTGTGAGTCCAGACTTGAGCTTGCAATAAAGGACTCTTTTGCTATTTCATCGACTTTGGTCCCTGGTGGTCTTTGGGAGTCACGAGAATGAGCATAACAGAAGGACAAGGTCTAGGGGTGTCACAGATTCCTTACTACCTTTCTGCCCCATTTCCTCAAATACAACCAACAACACAGCAGACACCACAAAGACAAGACAAAGACAGACCCAGTGGCTCCTTCTCCTCGGCAGAAAATTAAGCCCAAGAATGACCAAAATGTAATCCTAACTCAGAAACATAACCTACCGCTGGTAGGGCCTTGGGGAACTCAAACACCCTTGGTCCCCTGACCACCTCGAGGGACTCGAACCCCTTCCTGGCAATCTACAAATGGAGGGATGGGATATTTCTGCATCCACTCTGGCCTGGGGAGCAATACTGAATCCAGTTTCTCCCCAGTGGGTCCCCCATGGAGCTCTGCAAACCCAGAAACAGTACTGGGGACACAAACCCCCTCTTACCTCTGGAGGTTTTTCTCAGAAATTTTGATGCTGGCTCAGTCCTTGTCGTTTGATCCCGGACGAGCCCCCAAGATATTCGGGTGCCCTCCCCCCAATATTGGGATCTATGATCAAAGGAATGAGACTGAAACAAAGCAAAAGTCAGATAAAGCTATATTTCACACCAAGCATCTAGAAACAGACTGACCAGTCAGGGCCTCCTCGGCAGAGAGCAAATCCCGCCCAACTGCATGGGCTAACTTTTATAAGGAACAGGCCATGCAGTTTAGGCTGGCCACACACAGGTGGCCAATAACATTGCAACACTTACACAAAATTGCAGTTATGTTGGGCCACATGCAGGTGACCAATGAGGTTACAAACTTATCCCTAAGCAGTTGTTTAAACTAGCCTACCACTTTGGTCAATTTTGGTGCATGGGTTTGGTGGGGGAGAGGGGATGGTGGGAGGGTTGGTAGGGTTTGCATTCCTTGGTGGGGGGTGTTACATATGTGCTCATTACTGATTGGACATGTCCACTTGGCCTCTAGGCTCTGTTATCAGAGATTTGCAATGCACATTTTTCCTAAACTTGTAAACAAGATGGATGTTTAACCAGGGTAGAGTTATGTAGGCTCACTGGGTCCTAACATTGAGATGGGGCCCAACACTTGTAGCCTGGGAGTCCTATATGATAGGGAGCACTCAATGGCTCAAGTGATCAATGCACCATTTTGATTCTGATGCACTAAACAGGATCCCATCCTATGTGTTGACTGTACTAACTCCACGGGAGCTGTGACAGACTGAACCAGTTCAGACCCCCTATCCCCAGTTCTCTCTAAATAAGAAAAGACCTTACAAAATAAATATAATACATTGGCTGTCTATAAAGTACACCTATAGGATGATTCTTTAGTATAAGATGGAAAAGGGGGTCCTTTGTTATGTACATACAGAGAAAAGTATTATGTGGTCTAAAGGTTGCTAGATTGGGGTGTGTGTGTGTGTGTGTGTGTGTGTGTGTGTGTGTGTGTTTTGTCATGGGACTTGAACTCTGGGCCTGGGTGCTGTCTCTGAGCTCTTCAGCTCAAGGCAAGTGCTCTACTACTTGAGCCACAGCACCACTTCCAGTTTTCTGGTGGTTAATTGGAGATAAGAATCTCATGGACTTTCCTGCCTGGGCTGGCTTTGTACCGCTATCCTCAGATCTCAGCCTCTTGAGTTGCAAGGATTACAGGCATGAGCCTCCAGCACCTGGCCTGGACTTGTGTTTTTATAACAAGATAAGGTATACCTCAAAACCACCATCAGATTAAGAAATTTCCACAACTTTGATCAATTTTTCCAACAATGGAGCAAGTTCCTTTTCTAGGCTGACAATTAGCCCTGTGTTGGCATTGCTACTGGTTATGAAACTCACCATGAGAGGTAAACGATTGAACTGAACTACCTGGTAGGTATTATAGTAACAGATGATGCTTTTATTCTTTGAAAGTCCAAGTTTGCTCCCTTGGTCTGTTGCAAGGGCAAAAGTAGATAAGAAACCAGGTGTTAGCAAATTGAGTCCCTTCCTATAGGCTAGTCTACTCCTTCCCTTCTCCACATCTTAGCATGCTCCCTTCCTAGGCAGCACTAGGCCTATGTAGTAAAGGCAGTAAATAATAAACTTCCAACTCCTTTTACCTTGGGATGGCACTTCTCTGGGGCAGAAGGCAACAAGAGTATCTTAGAGTGACCTTCAGGTCTGGGCAGTTGTAGAACCCTTATCTACTATTTGGATAGTAGCCATAAATCCTAGTCTGACATCATGAAGCCCCTGGCCTGCATATCCAAACCAGGGTCTCCACCTCCTAGCTCCTTTTAGCCCCTCCTAAACCCCTAGGTTATATAGGTCACCCCAGACAATAGCCAGTGCTTCTTCTCATTCCTCCCTTGTGAGAAGGAATCTTGCCGGGCCCCCTTTCCCCAGGAATAAACCTTACTTTGTTCTCTGCACCTGGATGTCTGCATGGTTCTCTGGCAAAGTCTAATCTTAATTTGCCAATACCAGGTCTTAAAGCATGCTCAAGAGCTCCATCTCTATCCAACACAAAAATAGCATGGAGTCCTTCTGAAGTGGGCCCTGAGATGGGGCCCAAGCTGGTATGATTCCATTTTGAGTTTTGCCTTTGTTTTAGGGATTTTAGACTTGATGGGTCTAGTTCTCAGAATGAAAAAAAAATGCACTTGGTCGCCCTCCCCTTAACAACCTAACCCACCCTTGATTGTTGAGTTTAAGACTGACCAATAAAACAGATAGGTTGTAATCTGGCTCAAACTGGTGACACCACGAGCTCATAGGAAACTCCGCCTTTTGCCCACCAAAAGGTAGACCCCTGCCTTACCCACTAAATTTGTGTGTCATTTTAAGCCAAGGTGATAGGCTGGTTTAAACAGCCATTACAGACAAACTGTAACCTCATTGGCCACTTGGGTGTGGTCTGGTATGACTGTACAATCCTTTGGGTGTGTTATGATCCCATTGGTCACCTGGGGGTGACTGGGCTCGACCTCATGGATTTTACCTTTAAAAACCAAAGTATGAGCCGGGCGCTGGTGGCTTACGCCTGTAATCCTAGCTACTTAGGAAGCTGAGATCTGAGGATCGAGGTTCAAAGCCAGCCTGGGCAGGAGAGACCGTGAGACTCCTATCTCCAATAAACCACCAGAAAACCGGAAGTGGCGCTGTAGCTCAAGTGGTAGAGCACTCGCCTTGAGCTGAAGAGCTGAGGGACAATGCCCAGGCCCAGAGTTCAAGCCCCAGGACCAAAAAAAAAAAAAAAAAAAACAAAGTATGTGGGCCACTCAGGGTGGCAGTATCAACTCCCAAGCCTGTGCCATGGCCCTGACCTGTCAGTATAGGAGCCTTCTCAATAAAGTTGCTTTGTTAACTTTTTTGCGGTGGGCTCTGTCACTCTGGACGACTAGGTGGGCTTGCCTGCCTGAGTAGGTCTTCCTACTACACTTCAACATGTGGTAATGTTGTAAGGTAAATGATCCCAGAAGCCACACTTTAAAATATAGACTATTGGAGTCTTTATAATACAGTTAACAAGCTGCAGGTTGCCAGTTGTTACAAAGGCCTGCAGCATGCAAATACATATAACTCAGTTAGGAAACATGCTAAAGAGGAAAGAAATAACAAGAACAATACCAACAAGCCAATTCAGCTCCAATGGAGAGCTAAATTGGGACTCCATGATTACTGGAGATGAGCTAGGAGGCAGGATGTGTAGGACAGGACCACAGAGACATATGTGGCATGGAGTTCTGGCGGCTAGGCTGGTCTGGGCCTAAATAGGTCGGCACAGGGGGCGGATCCTCAGGAAATTCCCAGTCCCAGGCACTAGACTGACAGATTCAGTAACCTATCAGCCAAGTGCCTGCCCCTGCCTCCAGAGGTCTGGGCACGCCCATTATTACCTGGGAGGCAGATGATGGGGGGGGGGGTTCCTTCCCCCAGCATGAAGACAAGATGCCAAGACCCTACCATCTACCATGTGGCCAATATGGCACTGGCCAGACTTGGCCTCCTTACTTCAGTAACTTCTTATACAAGAATCGCTTTAGGTCATCTGCCATGATGAACCATTTTCCCTTGTAGGATCAATCTTGCAAGCCTGGGTTTCTGAGTCACCAGAATCTGTAATTCCTTTATACTTAAACTTAGGGACACTTCCGAAACCCCTCCATTGGCTTTCTGGTTTGTTACTGTTGCATTCTATTTTGCATTTGTGTGGAAAGATTTCACTATGTAGCCCAGGCACCAAACTTGCCCATCTACCTTACCCAACTTACCTTTTCACTCTTACAAGACGTAATGAGTGTTAGCCCAATGAACTCCCTTCCCATAACTTCATATGCTTCTTCCCCTCTCCAGAGCTTAGCGTTCTCCCATCCTGGGCAACACTAGGCCCATTTAGCAAAGGCAGTAAATAATCAGCCTCCAACCCCCCTTTACCTTGGAATGGCACTTCTCTGGGGCAGCTACCCCCATATAAGGCAACAAGAGCCCCTTAGAGTGACCTCCAGGTTGGGCAGCTGCAGGACCCCTTTTTTACTACTTGGGCAGCAGCCATAAATCCTAATCCACCATGATGAAGCCTCTTGTCCTCACGTCTACACCAGGGTCTCTGCCTCCTAGCCCCTTCTAGCCTCTCCTAGCTTTAGTAGGTTTTATAGGTCACCTCAGACAATACCTGGCATTTTTCTCTTGTGAGAAGGGGTCTTGCTGGTTCTTTTACTGGCAATAAACCTTTTCTTTGTTTTTCAGACCTGTATGTGTGATTTTCTGGCAAAGTTTAATACATCCTAACAATGAGTAATGGCAATAGCCCCTCAGAATACCTTTTCCTATCTTCTTCACTTTTTTAAATTGTAATTTTTAAAGCAATACATTCATAAGGGAGAGATGGGGAATGAGATTAATTGGAGTACTACATTTGTACTTGTGTGGAAATATCACAATAAGCCCCCACCTTTTACAACTAATGTATGCCAATTAAAATAATGCCTCAATGTTCTTTAAATTAAAAATGGATACTAAATGAAAAGTGTCTACTATCTTTTTTTCACCCCTTGTTCTTTCTATAGGTAATCAATATTGCTACCTATGTGGTCTTCCAGAAAATTTCTATACCAAGGCTGTATTTTCCTTGTGGTATGAGAATTACCATACTATTCTTTCTGATCTATATCATTTCTATTTCTCTCTCCATTTCTCTCTCTCTCTCACTGGGATTTGAATTCAGAGTAGATCTTGAGCTGGGAGAGCTGTCTCATGCTTCCTAGGAAAGTGCTCAGCAAAGTTAAAGAAAGGGATTTTTGCATTAGGGAGTAGTTGCTTGCAGCAGCGACCTCCCAGGATGTCTCCACCCACCAGACACCCAATCTTGCTTTTGTTATTAAAATAAAGCACCCAGTTAGCTTTTAATCAGAAAACTAGGGGAAGGGGCTTTGCTAAAGCCAGAGTGATTAATGCAGTGTGGTCATTAAGGTTTTGGAGGCAAACTGCCTGGGTTAGAATCTTGGTTCCCACACTCAAACTCTATAGCATTAAGAATTTAACCATTTTAAAGATAAAACAATAAAATTCCTCTCCTGTAAGCCAATTTTTTTTTTTTTTTTTTTGGTCAGTCCTGGGCCTGGGCCTGTCAGCTCTTCAGCTCAAGGCTAATGCTCTACCACTTGAGCTACAGTGCCACTCCCAGCTTTTTCTGCTTATATGGTGCTGAGGAATTGAACCCAGGGCCTCATACATGCAAGGCAAGCACTCTACCACTGAGCCACCTTCCCAGCCCTTGTAAGCCAATTTTAAAAAAGAAGCTAACCATTTTTTTTTTTTGATCCAGTCGTGGGGTCTGAACTCTGGGCCTGGGAGCTGTCCCTCAGCTCTTCAGCTCAAGGTTAGCGCTCTACCACTTGAGCCATAGCGCCACTTCCAGCTTTTTTCATTTTGCTTATGTGGTGCTGAGGAATCGAACCCAGGGCCTCAGGCATGCAAGGCAAGCACTCTACCACTGAGCCACCTTCGCAGCCCAAGAAGCTAACCATTTTATCTCAGTTTCTTCAACTATCAAACAAGGACAACATTAGAAACTTTGTAAGGATTGATGAGATAGCACAAGTAATGCCCTAAAATGTCATACTTACAAAGTCTTCAGTAAAACAAAGTCTTCAGTAAAAAAAATTTTTCTTTCTGGAAGTTGGACCCAGGGCCTTGTGTATTATTAGCTCCCTGTTAATGTTTTTTTTGTTGTTGTTTGTCAGTAGTTGGGCCTGGGCGCTATCCCTGAGCTTTTGCTTAAGGTGAGTGATCTACCACTTTGAGCCACAATGACACTTGCAGTTTTCTGGTGGTTAATTGGTGATTAGAGTCACGTGTACTTTCTGTCTGGCTTAGAATCCTGATCCCCTTATCTCAGCTACGTGAGTAGCTAGGATTACAAGCATGAGTAGCTAGGATTACAGGCGTGAGCCAGCAGCCCCTGGCCTGTTTTTTCTTTTTTTTTTTTTTTGTCAGTCCTGGGGCTTGAACTCTGGGCCTGGGCGTTGTCCCTCAGCTCTTCAACTCAAGGCGAGTGCTCTACCACTTGAGCCAAGGCGCCACTTTGTTTTGTTTTTCAATACTGGGGCTTGAACTCAGGGCCTCCAGTTCTCACTTGGCTTTCTCTCCTCAAGGCTGAAGCTGTTACTGCTTGAGCCACACATCTACTTGTGACTTTTTGTTGGTTAATTGGAGGTACCAATCTCAGACTTTTCAGTCCCAAGCTGGTTTTAAACTGTAATCCTCAGCCTCCCTGAGTAGCTAGGATTACTGGCTCCCGCCCCCCCCCCCCCCCCCCCCCCCCCGTTTTTTGTTGGTCTGAACTCGGCCTGGACGCTGCAAGGCTAACGCTCTACCACTTGAGCCACATGCCACTTCCAGCTTTTTCTTTTATATGGTGCAGAGGAATCAAACCTAGGGCCTCATGTATGCAAGGCAAGTACTCTACCACTGAGCCAACTTCCCAGCCCCTCCTTCTGTTTTTAAAATGAGTTACCATGGATATTTTGTTTCTAGGCTTGTACAGGAAATTGTGGTTCTGACACGTTACTGTTTCAGCAGGCTGTTCTTAAATAGGTTTTTTCTTTTATTTTTCTGGTCATGGGGTTTGAACGCTGGGCCTGAGCACTGTCCATCAGCTATTCAGCTCGAGGCTAACACTCTACCACTTAAGCTACAGTGTCACTTCTGGTTTTCTGGTGGCTTATTGGAGATAAAGAGTTTCATGGACTTTCCTGCCCAGGCTGGCTTTGAACTGCAATCCTCAGATCTCAGCCTCCTGAGTAGTTAGGATTACAGGCATGAGCCACTAGCGCCCAGCAAATACAGTATTCTTGTGTTGCTGTTTTCCCAATACTGATGGTAATCAACAACAGATTTGAGCCATGCTTTCACCCTGGGGTTTTTTGGTTTTTTTTGGCTGGTTTTGGAGCTTGGACTCTGGGCCTGGGCGCTGTCCATGCACTCTTCAGCTCAAGGTGAGTGCTCTACCACTTGAGCCACAGCACCAATTCCCATTTTCTGGTGGTTTTATTGGGGATAAGAGTTTCATGGACTTTGCTGCCCAGGCTGGCTTTGAACCTCCATCCTCCTGAGTAGCTAGGATTACAGGCGCCTGGCCTGAGTTTCTATTTTTAAGCTGTGGTAGCTCTTGCTTTATAGCCATGTACATCTCTGGTAGTTTCCCCTGCCCACCCCCACACCTTGCATATACTGGTTAACTAGATACATAGACCATACATAATATAAACAGAATGAGGGATAGGTTGTGGAGCTCACAGGGTTGATTTTTCTGACTTAGGTGAGGTTTAGCAAATTTATATCCCCTTTTCTGCCTCTCCTGAAAGGACTGCTTATTTCATCTTTCGGTTTCAGCTTAGTATTTCCACAGTGCTAGTTTTAGATATGTTCCCGAGATGTAAATCTGACAAAGGCAACAATGTCATTTGCTTCAGTTATATGCTAGCACCCAGCAGTGCTTAGTCCTCAATAAATCAGAATATTTCTAATATCCAATATTAGTAAGATTTTCAAGTGGAATTTAAGTTAAATTTATATTTTAGAGCTTCCTTTTTTTTTTTTTTTTTTTTGGCCCATTGTGGGGCTTGAAGTCTGGGCCTGGGTACTGTCCCTCAGCTCTTTGGCTCAAGGCAAGAGCTCTACCACTTGAGCCACAGTGCCACTTCTGGTTTTCTGGTGGTTTATTAGAGATAAGAGTCTTGTGGACTTTCCTGCCTGGGCTGGCTTTGAACTATGATCCTCAGCTCTAAGCCTCCTGTGAGGCTGAGAGCACCAGTGCCCGGCTCTTAGTTTTTAAAACTGACATTTTGTATATTAGCTTTCTTGAAAATTAAACTAAAACTAAATCATGTGCTAGTTGGAGGCCTAGTTATTGGGAGTTTTAAAAACTTCCAGGTGAGCCAGGAGCTGATGGCTCACGCCTGTAATCCTAGCTACTGAGGAGGCTGAGATCTGAGGATTGCGGTTCAAAGCCAGCCCGGGCAGGAGAGACCGTGAGACTCCTATCTCCAATAAACCACCAGAAAACCGGAAGTGGTGCTGTAGCTCAAGTGGTAGAGCACTCGCCTTGAGCTGAAGAGCTGAGGGACAGCGCCCAGGCCCAGAGTTCAAGCCCCATGACTGACAAAAAAACAAACAACAACAACAAAAAACTTCCAGGTGATTTTGATTTTCAGCCAGTATTTAGTATCATTGATGATATCTTATAAGCTCTAATATAAAGTTGGCTAAATACCAGTGAGGTCCTTCCAGCTGAGGTCCTGTGTAGCTAGGATGCGCTGACAGCTCCACCAGTGCATGGCTTACACTAGTATTTTTGTTGTTGTTGATTTTGGTTGGATGGAAAAGAAATTTTTTTCTTCTTATTATTATTAAATAGTTGTACAAAGGGGTGACAATCCCATAAGTCAAGTTATCAGTACAATGCTTCTTGGTCAATGCACCTCTTCCTTCATTCTCCCCCATTTCCCTCCTCCATTCCCTACCCTCAAGTTACATAATTTATTTTTTTTTATAT